ACGCTGAGGACAAGGTACCTCACGCAGAGGACAAGGTTGCTCACGCTGAGGACAAGGTACCTCACAGTGAGGACAAGGTTCCTCACGCTGAGGACAAGGTTCCTCACGCTGAGGACAAGGTTCCTCACGCTGAGGGCAAGGATCCTGACGGTGAGGACAAGGTTCCTGATGGTGAGCACAAGGTTCCTGACGGTGAGGACAAGGTTCCTGACGATGAGGACAAGGTTCCTGACGGTGAGGACAAGGTTCCTCACGCTGAGGACAAGGTTCCTCACGCTGAGGACCAGGTTCCTGACGGTGAGGACAAGGTTCCTGACGGTGAGGACAAGGTTCCTGACGCTGAGGACAAGGTTCCTGACGCTGAGGACAAGGTTCCTGACGCTGAGGACAAGGTTCCTGACGCTGAGGACAAGGTTCCTGACGCTGAGGACACGCGCGGAGGTCGTCGTACATGCTCGCCACTCAAACTTGTAAGTTATGATGTAGTTTTTAACTGGTAGGTAGAGAAGTGAGAAAACTTAAAGCGTAGATACTGTACCATGCATTAAACATACTCTTAATAAACCTATTATTATTATAATTTTTTATTAGAATCTCGTTTTCCTTGAAATTGCTTTTTTAATACACGTGAATCGTGAAACGGCTTTTTTTTCGTTGTGAAACGTGATCCATACCCCACCTTTTCCACCCTCCATATAACTCCTTAATTTTTTGGCATGTGTAGGGAATTGTTATATTTTGAAAGTGGCAAAAATTAAATATAAAATGAAGGCTAATCTTAAAGATGTTTAGCTAATTTTTGCCCTATTTTAAGAGTTTTGAAAAACTAGTCAAAATTAGCAGTAACGTACAGGCTATAACTCCTTAATTAAACTCTTGGTTGTTTTTTACCCTTATGCTATGACCGTTTTCTGGCAACTTTTTCATATTTCGAAACAGTGGTCAAAATAACCAAAAGTAAAAACGATTAACCACCTTTTCACATTTTAAAAATGGAGTAAAAACGGGTAACGCTTTAATAAGCTTTTTGAAGGAAACGTTAGGTTGTTTCTCCATTACTTTTTTCCATTTCCGCCACTTTTTTTCATTTTTGGTAAATGGCTAAAAGGTAAAGCTAATAGCTAAAACCCCTTAACTTGCAGACCGTTTTAGGCAAATTTTTAGATTTAGAAAAAAAACATTAACTAAAAAGTAAAGAGTAATTACCCCTTACTGTTTTGGCCACTTTTAACTATTTTGAAAACCGTCAAAAATAGCTAGTAATTAGGGCCAACCCGTTATAGTTTGGGCATTTATTTGGCAATTTTGCTTAATTTTAAAAAATGTGGTCAAAATGACCAAGAGTGAAGCTAATCCTTCAACCTTTTGTGGTCAAAACTAGCGTTTTTCAAAGGCTAACACTTTTATAACTTTTCTCTACAGAAAGTGAAAGTGAATCCTCAACTGACTTTTAAAAATCGCCATTAAAGTGCCAGAAGTGAAGGCTGAAACCAAATATATTTTTTTTCACATAATTTAGCATGGCACGATTAGGTAGAAAATACTATTCGAAATAATCACCAATAGACACGGTAGTCTAGCGGACCGTTCATGGCGTCGCATGGATGGAAGGAATGGATCTATCCCATCTGACGATAGAGTTTAGTTTTTGACAGGCTATGTGAGGTTGTTAACTATTTTAAATGATCCAGTGGAAGGTTGAACAAAACAGAAAATATATCTTTTCCACGCAACGGGCACGAATAGCTCATTATTTCATTTATTTTATAAAAGGTCACTAGACTGGTTTAGTCTTCACTATTTCTAGTGACCTGTGCCATAATGTTTATATATTTAAAAAAAATCATGTAATGTTATTTTACTTGGTGGTGCGAAACAAATTTGTTTGTTTGTTTGTTTGGATAATCGGCGAACTTTTTGCCATTTTTCTGCTCTTAGAAAAGTGGTTTAAATAAGGCAAAGGTAATGGATAAGCCCTTACATTTTAGGACGCGAAGCGTTTATCCTTATGTCCATTAGGAGGTGAAGGCTATATAGCATGTTGTGTTTTTAAACGTCATTTTAGTATTTGATTGCCTAATTATTAATTCCACCCGAGAGTAAAACGTTAAAGAAACCAAAAACTGCAGGAGCAAAACCAACAGCCAAGACAGTGTACTGGACTCAACACAATGTCGTATGCTTGGAAACTATGGTTCGCTCCCTACTAAGCTCAAATTCCTTTTAGTGTTTAACTGCCCTATCATAAATTTCACCTCAGAGAATAAAGGTTAAATGAAATCAAAAGTTACGCCTCTGCTGAACGGCAAATTCATTTTAGTGCTTGACTAAATTCATTTTAGTGTTTGACTAATTCCACCTCAGAGAGTAAAGGGTTAAATAAAATCAAAATTATCAGCTAACAAGCAACAGCCACGATGGTGTAGTGGTCACAGCCTAGTGTCGCATGTGGGTGATGTCAGGTTCGTTTCCTGCCTTGACAAGGACCTTTTGGTCTTTGTCAGGGGTACCTATTAATTATGGGTAGAGAAAAAGGATTAGCTATGATAGAAAACATTAAGCTTTCATCGTTAGACCTAGTAGTCTAGTGGTACCACTCAAAGCCTTCGGGTGCTACGGTGGAAGGATCGAGCCCGGTTAAGGCCGGCTGAGACTTCGTGCTCAGGTGATCGATCTGACCGGCCCTATGCGGAGTGAAAAGAAAATCGGGGGTTCTGTTTCCCCGAAAAAAATGAGAAAAAAACCCGAAGTGTCTTGCTCTAAGAGCAAAGCAAAAAGACTTAGTATATTTTTCTGCCCCTCCCGGCCCCCCTCCCCCGGGGGCCTCCCACCACCCTCTTGCTGCCTTCCCACCGCAACGCTGTCATATTCTAAGTCTACCGCGCATGCGCCAACCATGGTAACCACTAAAGATTGATTTCATTGCTAGTATCTTCTCCAAACATTTGCCCGGCCGCCATTTTCTTTTACATTCTTCTTTCGTCCACCATTTTTTTCTTCTTGATTCATTCATTCGTCCTCGAACCGATCCTGATACACGACATTGGCTTTTACAGTCCGATATCGTTACCACTAGACCACTTGCTCGTTGTTGGAAGCCTACCGCAACTTATTCACCTTATCCTTTTTTCTCCAGCTTGTGTGATTAATATACTACACATTTCAAGTCACAAAATGGCTTTTCTAGGACTTGAACCACACCTGGTAAATGGCACAGACTGTTGTCTTTACCACTAGACCACTTGCTCGTTGTTGGAAGTTTATCGCAACTTATTCACCTTAATCTTTTTTCTCTAGCTTGTATAATTAATATACGACACATTTCAAATCACAAAATGACTTCTGTACTTCAGTTGAACTTGAACCACAATGGTACATTACACAACCTGTTGCCTTTACCACTAGACCACTTGCTGGTTGTTGGAAGCCTATCGCAACTTGAATATCTTAACCTTTTTCTCTCGCTTGTATAATTAAAACTCAAATATTTTTTAATCACAAAACGGCTTCTGTAGGGGTTGAACCACACCTAGTAAATGACACAAGCCTGTTGTCGTTACCACTAGACCACTTGCTCGTTGTTGGAAGACAAGCGCAACTTATTCACCTCTTTTTTTGTCTTGCTTGGTTTCTCTAACAATTTTTGAATAACAAAACGGCTTCTGTAGGACTTGAACCACACTTGGTAAATGGCACAAGCCCATTGTCTTTACCACTAGACCACTTGCTCGTTGTTGGAAGTTTATCGCAACTTATTCACCTTAATCTTTTTTCTCTAGCTTGTATAATTAATATACGACACATTTCAAGTCACAAAATGACTTCTGTACTTCAGTTGGACTTGAACCACAATGGTACATTACACAACCTGTTGCCTTTACCACTAGACCACTTACTCGTTGTGGGAAACCTACCGCAACTTAACCTTTTTCTCTCGCTTGTATAATTAAAACTCAAATATTTTTAATCACAAAACGGCTTCTGTAGGGCTTGAACTACACCTGGTAAATGACACAAGCCTGTTGTCTTCACCACTAGACCACTTGCTCGTTGTTGGAAGACAAGCGCAACTTATTCACCTCTTTTTTTCCGTCTAGCTTGCCTTCTCTAACAACTTTTGAATAACAAAACGCCTTATGTAGGACTTGAACCACACTTGGTAAATGGCACAAGCCTGTTGTCTTCACCACTAGACCACTTGCTCGTTGTTGGAAGACAAGCGCAACTTATTCACCTCTTTTCTTCTCTAGCTTGCCTTCTCTAACAACTTTTGAATAACAAAACGCCTTATGTAGGACTTGAACTACACTTGGTATATGACACAAGCCTGTTGTCTTCACCACTAGACCACTTGCTCGTTGTTGGAAAACAAGCGTAACTTATTCACCTCTTTTTTTTCTCTAGCTTGCTTTCTCTAACAATTTTTGAATAACAAAACGGCTTATGTAGGACTTGAACCACAATGGTACATTACACAACTTGTAGTCTTTACCACAACACCAAGAGCTCGTTGTTGGAAACCTATCGCAACTTATTCACCTTATTTTTTTTCTCTAGCTTGTATAATTAATGTTCAAACTTTTCAAGTCACAAACGCCGGGATTATATAATCTAGCTCTCATGAATTTATGATTGCCTAAATATTAAGCAACTACAATCTCCTTCTCTCGTCTGGATAAACGCTATACCGTCTCCAGACGGGAAAGGGGCTTACCAGTCAATACCTCAGGCCCGTCAAAAATATATCATCCGACGCCTAAGAGTTAGCTGGATCAACAGCCAAAATTCTTACATTCGTGTACTCAGCGAATTTATACAAAAACATTTGCTTTCTCACTTGTGGGACGTTGAATGATAAAATGCGCATGCTCATTCGCATTAAAGCATTTGAAGTGCGCATGCTCAACCAGTCGCACAAATGCTGTTTGGGGGAACAAAACCTCGCCAATCGTGCTATAAGTCGGCGAAGCAGCTCGAACGTCGGCTCTAAGCCAGATAAATCTGTCGGGGCCTTCGGCTTTCGAGATTTATCTGCCTTGAAGCCTCTGTTGCCGGTCTTGAACCTGACTTATTCAAAATTCAACCATTTTCGAATTACAAAATGACGTCTATAAGACTGTTAAGTCTCAAATTCTTATCGATACCACACTCAGAAATACCTGCGATTTTCATACATGACCAAAAACGGCCTGTTTATCACTTGAATATAGCCTATATAGACCATAGATTTTGAGTATGAATTTTGTAGAATGTAGCAAATTCATGCTTCTGTTTTACGGGGCTTGAAACGCAATAGAATGCGCGCCTGGCCTAGACTCAAATCTGCATGCATCTTGTTTATAACAATATAACTCTCAAATCCTTTCAATAACTCGCTTGAAAAAACTGCGAGTAAGACTTGAGTAAGACAGCGACAGAAAGCCTATAGACCATATATAGACTTCAAATATAAAATTTGTAGAGTGGCATAAATTCTTGATTTGGCTCTACAGCACTTGAAACGCTACAGAACGAGCGCCTATAACTCGAACCTGCATCCTAACTAATGTTAAGTCTCAAATTCTTTTCGATAACTCGCTTGGAAAGACCAACTTGAGTAAGGCGGCGACAGAAAGCCTATAGACCATAGATTTCAAATATGAAATTTGTAGAGTGGCGTAAGTTCTTCTTTCTGCTCTACAGGACTTGAAACGAAATAGAACGGGGGCCTATAACTCGAACCTGCATCTTAATTAATGTTAAGTCTCAAAGTCTTTTCAATAACTCGCTTGGAAAGACATGCGATTCTTATGTCCAGAAACGGCGAGTTTATACTTGAGTAAGGCAGGAACAGAAAGACTAGAGACCATAGATTTCAAGTATGAAATTTGTAGAGCGGTGCATGTTCTTGGTTGTGCTCTATAGGACTTGAAACGCAATAGAACGGGCGCCTATAACTCGACCCTGCATCAGTCATTTTCGAATAAAAATTACTTCTGTAAGACTTGAACAACGATGGTATAGTACACAGACAGTTGACTTTACCACTAGACCACTTGCTCGTTGTTGGGAGCCTACCGCAGCTTATTCACCTTATCTTTTATCTAGCTTGTACAATTAAAATTCAACCTTTTTTTGAATCACAAAATGATTACAGTAAGGCTTGAACCACAATGGTACATGACACAGCCGGTTGTCTTTACCACTAGACCACTTGCTCGTTGTTGGAAGCCTACCACAGTCAGCTTATTCACCTTATTTTTTCTTTAGCTTGTATAATTAAAATTCAATCTTTTTTTAATCACAAAATGACTTCTGTAGGACTTGAAACATGATGGTACATTATACAGCCTGTTATCTTTACCACTAGACCACTTGCTCCCTGTTGGAAGCCTACCACAGTTTATTCACCTTATTTTTTCTTTAGCTTGTATAATTAAAATTCAACATTTTTTTGAATAACGAAATGACTTTTGCAGGATTTGAACCACAATGGTACATTACACAGCCTGTTATCTTTACCATTAGACCACTTGCTCGTCATTGGAAGCCTACCACAGCTTATTCGCCTTATTTTTTCTCTAGCTTGTACAATTAAAATTCAATCTTTTTTTAATCACAAAATGACTTCTGTAGGACTTGAAACACGATGGTACATTATACAGCCTGTTATCTTTACCACTAGGCCACTTGCTCCCTGTTGGAAACCTACCACAGTTTATTCACCTTATTTTTTCTTTAGCTTGTATAATTAAAATTCAACAGTTTTTTGAATCACGAAATGACTTTTGCAGGATTTGAACCACAATGGTACATTACACAGCCTGTTATCATTACCATTAGACCACTTGCTCGTCATTGGAAGCCTACCACAGCTTATTCGCCTTATTTTTTCTCTAGCTTGTACAATTAAAATTCAACTTTTTTTTTAATCACAAAATGACATCTGTAAGACTTGAACCACGATGGTACATTATACAGCCTGTTATCTTTACCACTAGACCACTTGCGGGTTGTGGAAGGCATAACGCAACTTATTCACCTTATTTTTTCTCTAGCTTGTATAATTAAAATTCAACAATTTTAGAATCATAAAATCACTTCCTTAGGACTTGAACGAAAATGGTACATTACATAGCCTGTTGTCTTTACCACTAGACCACTTGCTCGTCATCGGAAGCCTATACCACAGCTTATTCACCTTATTTTTTCTCTAGCTTGTATATAATTAAAACTCAACCGTTTTTTTGAAACACAAAATGATTTCTGTAGGGCTTGAACCACGATGGTACATTACACAGCCTGTTATCTTTACCACTAGACCACTTGCGAGTTGTTTGAGGCATACCGCAACTTATTCACCTTAACATAACTTCGGTAGGACTTGAACCACAATCGTATAATAAACAGCCTGCAGACTTTACCACTAGACCACTTACACGTTGTTAAACACCAACAAAAACTTATTCACATTAATTTTTATTCTAGCCTCTATAAGTAATAAACAACACTTTTCAAATCTATAAACGACTATTACAGGACTCGAACCAAATCTCTTGCCCACTAGAACAACTTGTTCGTTGTTGTAAGACTACCGTAACTTTTTTCATTTTATTTTTTTTATTCTTATAGACTGCATGCACCTTAAGCTCTATTTAGTTCCACCCGAGAAATCACAAGACAAAGAAAAATTCCGCCTAGTGGAAAACCGGCTTAACTACAAAAGAGAAGTACAGCAAAGTTGACATACCTGGCACAAGTGCAACTTTTAAATTCCCCAGTTGGCCGCTCTCAATGGCAAATTTCAACGTATCATACAATTCTTGAGGGAAAATGCCCTTTGTTGTCAAAATTAGATCAACAATGACACTGCCTGGCCTGTAAAACAAAAGGAAAAATAAACATAGTTAGCAAGCGCCAGCACGACGAAACCTTAACAAAATGCATGAGCGTGCTTATGAGACACCAAAACAGGGGATTCTCATAAGCACGCTCATATATGAACCAAAATACAGTATGCTCATAAGGCTAATTTCCACTCAGGAAAACTATCCGTGGATTGGAACGGACAAGAAAATTTTTCTTTTTCTTGTGAGCTCTGGGTTGGAGCTAATGACTTTAACACCAAAAAATTTTCTTGTCCGTTCCAATCCACGGATAATTTTCCACATGCATACCAAGATCTAGAATCCTCATGAGATTGCTCATGCATATAACTATAACCGGATTTTGGTTCATATTTGAGCTATAAGCTATTGGACTATATTGAGCTATATTGTTTTTGTCTGCACGGAGTTAACACGAAATTGCAAGGAGTGCGCCGAAATGTCATATTTTGACATCGATTTAAAGAATAACACTATGGTTCAAATTAAGCAAAGGTCTTCTATTTTGTGGCTTTGAAGTTAGCCGGGCTTCCTTGCCATCATATTTTTACAGACTATGAACGGGGAAAGCGACCACAATGGAAAACAACGTTGTTAACGTTTTACCTGAATCCCGACACCTCGACATTGATCAGCGAAGATGCATCTGATACTAACTGATTGATCTGTAACGGGAAACATAGAAGAAATGAAGACACAATATTAATGGTGCATCTGATACTAACTGATTGATCTGTAACGGAAACATAGAAGAAATGAAGGCACATGTTAATGATAACGGATTTCTCCCGTATACAACAATATTTTCTATATTAGAAACGCATCTTGTTTGTAACATGCAGGATCATAAAAAAATGGTTAACAAAATTATAAAAAATCGGGATTACGCATGACGTTTTCATAAGGTTTTCAGCGTGCTAATGCCGTCTCATGAATTTGAAAGATGTCATTGCACTACACTTGGTTGAATTACATGAATGCTGTATTCAGTAGCGTAACGCCTCATTAGGTAGGGTCAGTTCAAAAACTAAGGGCCCCGGCAGTTAGGGTCCGCCATCAGCCATGGCCTATCGCCCAGAAAATTAGAAAACTTAAAAAACGCAGGTGAAGAATCAATGGGAAAATGCAACACTAGGTCTTCTTAACCTTCGGTTGAAAATTATCACTTTCTCCAAAATGTTGCTATATAGCCTACGTTTAGCGACAATAAAGCCGCATGAGCATTATAGTAAAAAACGTACAAAAGAATACAACCATTCCAATCTACGATGAAATATCTAAATATTGTTGATCGTTTTCAGATTTCATATATATGAAGCATTAGACAGTGATCACTTACAGAGTTGGTTAGCTCGTTTGATAATTCCTGGAATTCAGCACTTTCAGTATCTTTATATTTTTCAGTGAAAACCTTTTCCGTCAGTCGAATTGTCATCGGGTACCTGTATACTAAAGAGATTACAACAGACGTTACTATAGGGCGTTGATGGCACAATGGTTTTTATGCATAGCACACAAAAGTTGATTTATCGAAGCAAAGAAAGAGTTTGCTAACTTTCAAAAATTCTTTAAAGACATAACGTCTATTCCTATTACACACTACAGATACTTAAAGAAAAACAATCATGATCATTAAAACACATAAATATATAGAACCTAAAATACGTCTAAGATTTTAAAATTTCTTTTTTCAAATTTTAGGTTTTATATATTTATGTGTTTTTAATCATTGTTGTCAGTTTTTAAGTATCTATATGCATGGTGTGTTGTAAGCTAGAGAGGAATAAACACTATGTCTTCAACGATTTTTTTAAAGATAATATATATGTATATATAGATAGCATGTTTATTAACAAAAGAGCCAAACCAATACCAACGCATTACGTTACCTACAGACAATTTTTACCTAAAGACATTGAGAATTGCCCGTAGGTTTTTAGCCAATTGTAATCGAGTTTGCACCAGCAATGCATACAACATGATTTCACTTACGTTTGTTTGGATTCGATAAATCTATATTGCAACACAAAGGGGCGTAAATAACACCAGGACTGTTAGATTTTTTCTCCAATTTCTTTCCATGATTCAGTTTGAACACCACACCGCGACGTAAACTGAATGGGAAAAAGTTCTATTTTAGATTGTTGCCACGAAAACGATGACGACAACAACAACAACAACAACAACAACAACAACAACAACAACAACAACAACAACGACAACGACAACGACAACGACAACGACAACGACAACGACAACGACAACGACAACGACAACGACAACGACAACGACAACGACAACAACAACAACAACAACAACAACAACAACAACAACAACAACAACAACAACAACAACAACAACCAACAACAACGACAACAACAACACAACAACAACAACAACAACAACAACAACAACAACAACAACAACAACAACAACAACAATACATTTATTTGTACTCAAACATTGCAAGTTAAAGAAGAATATAAGTAAACACACTATAAATAATTACGATTGATGAGTACAGGCCACCTGAAATAACCATAGGGGCTAGACGAGTCAGGTGACCTTTATTAGACAAAATATAAGTAAATGGGTTTGGTCAAGATTATGCAATATTTTTATAGAAAAACGAACAAGAAACAAAACACGAACAAATAGCAAACAAATAGAAAAAAGAGCCAAAAAAAAATCCTGATTATAATATCTTCATCATTTTAAATTTTTGGATTAATAAGAAACAATTATATGTTCTTTAAGTTTTCTTTTAAAGGTTTTTAGACAGAGACTTCAAAGTTCATCGACAGAGCTCCAAACTTTAGGTCCACAAAATCTAATATTAAATATTCCGTAATTTGTAAGAACTGGTGGGATAGCATATGCATTTGTAAACGCTAAACGGGTTGTATAGTCATGGTTATATTTTTAATCAGGGTAAAAAGGCCACAAAAATCAGTCAGAAGATTTCCCGAACCATACTGAAACATGAATGATGCTGTATTGACATAAACTAGATCCAGAAATTTTAGCAAGTTTAATGCCTTAAATATTGGGGAAGTGTGCTCACGGAAACCGGAAAATGTCATTATCCTCATAGCCTTCTTTTGCATATCAATAATGGGTGCAAATTACTTTTGTATGTATGTCCCCATACCAGGACAGCGTACATAACAAATGGGTAGATTACTTTGTAGTAAACTTGAATGAGTGTATCAATTGAAACAAAATCACGAAGTTTAAATAATATGCAAATACTGTTGGATATTTTTTTGCATAACTCAAAGACATGATCCTTCCAGTTCAAATTACAATCTATAATAACGCCAAGATATTTGACACTTTTCTTCTCCTTCATTTTGTTGTTATGAATTTTCAGATTCAATGAGTAATTAACTTTCTTTTGTGGTGAATGGAAAAGGACAAAGTTTGAATTTTCAATCTTTATTGCGAGTTTATTAGCATATAACCACTTGCCAACCAAAATTAACTGCTCATTTAGTATTCTTTCTAAGTTTTGAAGATTATTATCAGAGTAAAATAAGTTTGAATCATCTGCAAATAAATGAAACTTAAGTTTTGGAGCAGAGTTGTTAAAATCATTAATATATAACAAAAATAATAAAGTGCCTAAAACTGAACGTTGTGGAACTCCACAAGTTATAGGCTTTTGCTCAGATATTACATTACCAATCGAGACATACTGCTTTCTGTTTGAAAGATAAGATGAAAACCATTTTTGTACTATTCCTCGTATTCGACTGTTTTCAAGTTTTTTGAGTAATATTGTATGATTTACAATATCAAAAGCTTTACTCAAATCAAGAAAGATACCACATGAATACATTTTGTTTTCTACTGCTTTTTGAATTTTATCTGCAATAAGTAAGATGGCATGTGCTGTAGAGTGGTTTGAACGGAAACCAAATTGGCCTTGACTTGGTTCTTTTCCAGAAAAATTACAAGTCTCTTATACATTAATTTTTCTAAAATTTTGTTAAAAACTGAGAGTAATGAAATTGGTCGATAATTTGATACAACCGACTTAGAACCTTTTTTATAGATTGGTATCACTCTAGCTAATTTAAATTGATCAGGCACAACACCTGTTAGAAATGAGCAATTAAAGAGATAAGCAAGTGGGCCAGATAAGAGAAATCTCAAAATTTTTAACAATTTAGTAGGGATGCTAAATGGCCCAACAGATTTAGATGGATTAAGATTACTAATTTCCTCTTCGACTTCCAAAGTGCTTACAGGAGAAAGGAAAAAACTATGACATAATGATTTGCTAAGAAATTTCTCAAATGAAATATCTATTATGGGTATAGTATTAGCTATATTTGAACCAATATTAGAAAAATAGTTTTAAAGGCATTAGCAATTGATTTTGAATTAGTCAGTTTAAATTTTCTACTTCCAATAAATTTGGAACTAAATAAGGCTGATGTTTTAGTGTTATCAGCTGTTTTATACCCTTCCATGTATTTTTTTTATTATATTTATTATTTGCAAAATATTTATTATAATAGGATTTTTTGCTAACCAGTATAAGATGTTTTAATTTATTTCTATAGGTTTTGAACTTAGAAAAATAATAATAATTTTTAGATTTAATGTACAATTCATAAAGTTTATTCTTTTAAGCAACAGAAACTCTAATACCATTTATAATTCAAGGTTTGGCTAATATCCGAATTTCTTTCTTTGATAACTTATGCAGAGGTGCGTGCCTATTAATAATATCGGATAATTTATTATAAAAATATTCGAATGTAAGATTCACATCTTCAGTTTCAGGCAGAACATCCTCCCAATTGACCTGCCGCACTTCTTCCAAAAGCATTTCTTCGTTAAAATTAGAATAATCTCTTCGATAAATCGTGGGATTAGAGGAAGTACAGGCAAACCTATTATGTATTAGAAAATTAGGAAAATGGTCAGTTATATCACAAATCAAATTTCCACTTAATGTCTCATGTTCAATAGAGTTAAAATAAATATTATCAATTAAGGTTGCTGAATGATCAGTTATTCGAGTTGGTTGAGCTATATAAGGCTGGAAACAGTATATGGTCCCAGATTGCGAAGAAATTCATGAGTTAAAGGATGTGATTCAATAATTTAGTAAATTGACATTAAAATCACCCATTATTATGCAATATTATTTTTCATTTGAGATTTTTTCCATTATTTTTGTGTAATAATTAATAAAATTTTCAAGTTTACTATTATGATGTCTGTAAATTACGGAACAGACTAGATTGCTTTGGTTTGCATTATGAAGCTCTATCGATAAACATTCAAAATCTGTGGTTGTAGTGCAGAAATCGTCACGAAAATGAAATTCACAGTCTTTTTCAAATATAGAAACCAACTCCACCTGCGTTTGAATAACTATAGGCTGGGATATAAAGTTATACCCAGCAATGTTTATATTTGCAATAGGTTCCTTATTCAAAGTAAACTTAATTTCACTGAGACCAATAATGTTAAAATTATGTTTAAGATCAGATAGTAGAGATGAAAAAGCATCATGATTAGCTGATAAACTTCTTACATTAAAGTGAAAAACAGAAAAGGACTTGGACTTAGACGTTAGTTTATGTATGCCCTCACTATTTTAAAATTCATCGATTGAGTAAAGCTATGGATACACAGGCAATACTTTTCTGGCGATGGCAATGCAATGGTGGTAAAATCGTTGCATTGCCGTCGCGAGAAAGAAATTGCTTGTGTATCATGCTCTGCGACGGCAACGCAAAGCTGCGCGCAATCGTTGCCGAAATTTCAAATCATTTGATTTTCGGCAATGATTGCCGAAAATTGGGAGGTGTGGTCAAGGTAGGTCAAGGTTGATGAATGACACGTTTCTTGACCAGCCAATGAAAAACGTTATGAAGACATATATTGCAGGCGAAATATTGCAGGTGTAGCTACCTTGTGCGACGGCAACGCAATGCTGTTATCACCCATTGCGTAACCATCGCAGCAAAAATATTGCTCGTGTATCCGAAGCTTAATAATCACAATTAACTTGACCAAATAAATTATTATCTATATTCCGCTCAGCTAAATTAGTTATATTATTCAGACTAGAAGTTAGTTCAAGCCTAGGTAAATTTTCTAGTTCACCCAACATGAGAAAAGTTCAGATATTTTGGTAAACCAATTGACCATTTGCGTAATAGACTAAATTTTGATCTAGACAAAAATTTCATCAGAGAATTTCAAAACAAGATTTAATTTAATTTCAAAACAAAATTTCAAAACAAGAGCATCACAAAATTAGTAATATTCCAAAGTTTCGTTGCGAAATGTTGTAAAATGCGGATAATATAGCCTTGCGAAGTTTGCAATTTTCAGTCATTTTAGATTACAAATGGGAAATTGACAGCCCGATACGCTTTGAGGCTGTCAATTTCCCGTTTATAATGTTATATTATATATATATATATATATATATATATATATATATATATATATATATATATATATATATATATATATATATATATATATATATATATATATATATATATATATATATATATAATTAATTAATTCTTGTTGTCCGTAATTGAACGAAGAGTGCTCAATACCAATATACGATAGAGCTTAAATAATTCTTTAATCTTAAAATATATTTGTCGCTACACTGTGTTTCACGCTTCTTTCTGTGCAATCTGTGCCTTGAAGAGAAGGTTTGCTTACTGGAAGCTGACAAAAGCAGGATATTGAATAAACGCTCAGAAATATTCGCGAAATGCTGTCATAGAAATAGTTTTAGCGCGCGCAAATTTGAACGCACGCGAGATGCGTCAGCAAACCGTTAGTTTATAGCACGTCATTGAATCAACTTCATTCGCCTGAAGATCGCTTCGAAAGAAGCGTGAAACACAGTGTAGCGACAAATATATTTTAAGATTAAAACA